CTTGCGGCCGCGCCCCTCCCCTCCACCACCCGTCGTCTGCTGGGCGCTGTCACCGACCCCCGGTCCGAGCGGGTGTGTTACACCCCCACGTGTGACACCCCCCCTCAGCCTGAAGCGCACTCACATGCACGGGTGTGCGCTTTGTATGCCCCTTGTCATGCGCACACACCCCCATCGGTCTGGAGTGTGTGTGTTATATCCCCTCAGCCAGTCACACACCCACCCCCTGAGCGTGTCTGTGTGTGTCACAACCCCCCGCCCAGCGAGTCACGCACAAGACCCCCCGGCCCCCAGCCTGCAGAGAGAGGGTGTGTGCACTATACGCCCCCTCACCTAGCCAGTCACCCCCTCCTCGTCCTCTAGGCTAGGGGGTGGGTCTGTGTCATGCCCCGCACACCCAGTCAGTCATACCCCGCCTTCCTTAGCCTGGCACAGGGCCAGGGTCTCGTGCGCACACACCCTGACAAGTGTGGGATAGTGGTCTATATGCACTCACATTTAGGGCGGGAGCTCTGTCACATGCACACTTTTCAGGGGCAGTGTCACAGCCCTGACGCCGTCTTTGGAAATGGCAGCTGCTCCCGGGGTTCAGGGGCTCCTGCTATGGGGTTCTCGGCCAGGGGCCCTTGAGATCCTTTCAGGAGTGATGTGAGGTAGCATACGATGTTAGCACCAATAGGTGTGTAGACATGATTCTCAGAAGAAACCTGGAGATTTCCAATGAGAATCCAGAGTGTTAAAAGCATTCTGACCCCCTGTGGTCTTTGAGTTGTTTGCAACAGAGGAATTGCTCTATTATTTTTCTTCAAGTGGAAAGCAATAGCTAACATTTTTTGAGACGTGCCTTGAGTCTGTCAAGAGTTGTCTTGAGTCTAAAAAGGTTGACAACCACTGCTCTAATGTGTGCACACTTTCTTTGCCTCAGCAGGGAGCAGTTATTCTTGCTTCACTCCGGGGCAGTGCCAGTGCCCCTCACCCCTACACTGCCAGCCTGCCAGACAGGGTTAGTGGCAATCACACATACTTTGGTCTGAGACAGTGGCAGTATCTTTGTCACATTCAGACACAACAGTTTGCATGGGACAGTGGTAGTGTCATGCATATGAGACCGGGGCAGTGGCAGTGTCTCAAATCCACCTAGCCCTGACATTGGTCAGAGACAATGCCCTGCTGCCATCTGTCCTTCCTCCTTACTAGCCTGGGGCAGGATCAATGTCTCACATCCATGGGAGCATTTTACTTACCTTGTAAAGCTAGTAAGCGCTCAGATACATTTGATGTGCTGGGGAGAGGTCAACATCAGTTTTGCAAAGAAAAATTATCTTAGAAATCTCTAGAGTATTTTGAGGGTGTCAATATGCATATGGATAAGGGGGAGCCAATTGATAATTGGAAGTGAAACAAAGTTTAGTTGGAGTTTCAGACAGCTGTCAACAAAATCACATGCCTAAGGCTCTTAAAGCAACTAAGCTATCATGAGATAAGAGGGAAGATCCTTCCATTGATTGAACATTGGTCAAAAGATAGAAAACAAATAAATGGCAATTTTTCACAATGGAGGAAGGTAAACAATGGTGTCCCCCAGGGATCTGGGTGATTCAACATATTTATAAATTATATGAAAAAGGAAATAGTGAAGCAGCAAAGTTTGCAAATGATAGAAAATTATTTGAGGTGATCAATTCCAACAGTGTTACAGAACAATTTTCCAACACTGAATAGGCAACAAAGTGGCAGATGAAACTGAACATTGATAAGGATAAAGAAATGCAGGTGGGAAAGAATAACTGTAACTATATATACTCAGCAATTCTCTAAATATCAATCCAATGTTCAGCAAGGGTCAAGTGATAACTTACACATTAGAAATTGCTAGGAAATAATTTGAAAACAAAACAGAAGTCAACATTATAGACATTTACAGTGCACCTGTATCTCAGGTACTGTGTGTAGTTCTGGTCACCCCCTCTCAGAAAGGATATAGTACAACTATAAAAAGTACAGAGACAATCTGGAGTATGGAATAGTGTTCATACAGGGAGAGATTGGAAAGTCTGGGACTCTTCAACTTAGAAAAGTGATGACTGATGCAGGAGCTGTGATAGACTGAGGCTGATAAAATTGTGAATGGTGTGGAAAAAGGGAATAAGGTATATTGCTGTTTTATATGTCTCATAATGAAGAACTGGGGGGCAGAAGGATCAGGTAGCAGGTTTAGAACAAACATAAGAAGGTACTTTTTCTCACAGAGCATAATTCCTATGTGAAACTCTCTGCTACAGGATTTTGTGAAAGCCAGCAGTATAACTGGGTTAAAAAAGGGAGTAGACAAATTCATCAAGACAGGTCCTCCAAGGACTACTAAACACATCAGTGTAACCTACCTCTGGTGGCCAAGAGAATATGGGATGGCTGATATGTGCCTGTTCCTAATATTCTTCCTCTAAGGCAGTGTTTTTCAACCTGTGTCTAAGCGGTCCATGAAAGATGACTATGATTAATCAAAAGTTCATGAATACCCACATCTACAATTCACCTCCATTTGAAATTTTCAAAGGGCTCTGCACCTCCATTCAAAATGTTTTAGGGGTCTACAAACGAAGAAAAGTTGAAAACCACTGCTCTAAGCTAGCCACTTCTTCCTACTATTGGACGTAAGATACTAGACTAGAGGGACTTTTGTATAACCCAATATGGCATTTTTTATGTTCTAAGCTCCCCACCCAGCCAATATAGAGTAGGTACCATATTTCAGATACTTTTCTACCCCCTAAATCTTAAACTCTGTAGCTTGTTCTGGTTTTTGATAAATTGCATAGCATCATGAGGTAATGGCAAAGTTCCTGTCAGAAGGTGGGGTAGATTTGCACCTTTATAGACTACCTAAATCAGAAATGCATAAGCTTTTGTAAGCAGAGATCTTACTTCATCAGGTGCTGTGAAGGGATTGCAGGAAGGAGATTTGCTAAATAGAAAGCAGTGATTAGAAAAGAAAGGGTAGGGAAGGGAGGAGGGAAAAGGGGGTGGGCACTGCTGAGGGAGGCAAGGTGGGCTGCAGAGAGAAAAACAAAGCGTTTAACCCACGGAGGGACATAGGGGTTATAAAACTAATCCAGGTAGTGGGGTAAGGATCTGTAGCCTGTTTAGACAATACAGTCCAGTCTGTTGGTGATTTCTTGTTCTGCAGTTCTCCGTTCAAGTTTGTTTTTAATTTTTTTTGTCTAAGAACAGCTACTCTGAGGTCAGTGATGGAACATCCAGCGAGGTTAAAGTGTCTGCCACAGGCTTGTCTTTCTGGTTTTAATGGCTGACCCGTTTTCATGCAAGTGCTAATTAATCTTTGTGCTGCACTAGCAAAAAGAGGTGTGAACCTGATGGATCTGTCTCTGGGGAAAGAGGGAGTCTTCAGATCACTGTATGTAGTGTCTCTACATCACACCTACGATGACCAATGCTGCTGGGAGCACCTAAAGACATTCCCAAGGACATAGCATGGCAGGAATGTGGCTGTACACTGCCTTTGCCCTTTCTTGCATCCAGAGCTGAACTCAGGTTGGGCACAGTGATGTATCCAGCCAGTGATGCCTGTTGTGTTCCTGTACAAAGGGATGAATACCCTGCATTCACTGCCTCAGTGGAAGCAGTCTCTAGAATTGATCCAACTGTAAAGATTCACTAACCAATATCTTCTGTTGGCTACTGTCTGTTTGCTTCTAATCCATATATTTTGGGAATTAAGACATGAGATGGGTTCCAAAAGTATCGTCCCTTTGGTTGACCAGTAATATTGCTTCTCTGTACAAAATTAAAAACATGACAAAATTAGGAGCTATATCTTCCGGCCATTTTGATATAAATATTCTGTGGCATCTGCTCTGCAATATGATAAAGTATTAAAGACTTGTGTTTTTGTCCTCCAATTCTGTAGATTCTGCCAAATACTCCAAAGTTAAAAAGAGAGGACTGATTTACCTCAGGGCTGATTGTCACTGGTTTAGATTCCCAACAAAAGAGGAGGGGAGGGGTAAAATAGGGATTTACAAATGCCACTTGAATGGAAATCACATTAGCCCCTGAGGAAAAGGTCTGATTTCAGTTCTTCATAGGTACTTCACAGGTACTTATTGTGAGACAAAGGGCTTGTACCTCTTTAAGATCCCAGAAAAAAAGGCTTTGTTCAGGGGAAATCTAGTGGTCTGTTTTTAGTCCAAGTGAAACTATCCATGGGAGCTTGGAATAAGGAAGCTTAACTCCTGGGAAATGGTATGATTTGCATTTGTCTTCAATACACTTTGCAATTAAAGCATTGAATTATTTAAATATTGGTAAACTAAATTAATCTACATACTTTCCTTTCCTATAACCCTAGAGAGTATCTACAATACAAACATGTTACATAGTTTCATAGTTCATAGTTGGTAGGGTCGGAAGGGACCTGAGCAGAGCAAGTCCGACCCCCTGCCACGGCAGAAAAAAGTACTGGGGTCAAACGACCCCAGGGAGGTGTTTGTCTAACCTCCTCTTAAAAACCCCCAGGGTAGGAGCCAGCACCACTTCGCTTGGAAGCTGGTTCCAGATCCTAGCTGCCCTGACTGTAAAGTAACGCTTCCTGATGTCTAGTCTGAATCTACCCTCTGCCAGTTTGTGACCGTTATTTCTAGTCACTCCTGGTAGTGCTCGGAGAAACAGGGACTCTCCTGATGCCTGCTGGTCCCCTCTGACTAGTTTGTCACAGGCCACTAGATCCCCCCTCAGCCTTCTCTTGTGGAGTCTGAACAGGTTCAGGTCCCTTAGCCTCTCCTCATAGGGCCTGCCCTGCTGCCCCCTGATCATGCAGGTGGCCCTCACATCACATACCTAATATCATTGCTGCTTCGCACAAGAGTGGCGTCATTTATCAAATAATACGTTAACATGTAAGAAGTACATCCAATCCCTCAGCACGTATATAAAGACAGATATCCATCTTCCACATATAGGTAGCATGGGGCACTCATTGTGCTGGAGGACACGGACCAAATCAAGGTCCACGCAGGAGTCTTCCTTTCAGTCTCTTCCTTTCAGTCTGCCAACAGCTTTTAACATTGTAGTCAACTGTGCTACCTCCAGCAGGTGATGAGCACAAAGTCCCATTTTTCTTTGGTGTGGCACCTTGTCACGGATTGCATTGCAACGTGGCAGGGCTGTGCACAGGAGCTGGGTCCGGGTCCTGCTAATATGGCCCCAGGAAACTCCTCACAGGCATGGGCAGATCTGGGATTTTGGAAAGGCGGGTGGAGATGGCAAGGTGCAGCATCACGGATAAAACACCACTTGCTTTTCTTCAATTAATTAGCTTTAATCAAATGCCAGGGGGCCAAGGCAGTGCAAGATGGAAGCAAAAACAAACAGACCCTCGCTGGGACGAGCGAAAAACAGCCTGCGGGGCTGGGAAATGGAGCTTTGTTAGGAGGAGCTGGGCTGGCGGGCACCGAGCCCCTACAGGAGAGAAAGGGCCGCTGCACCGGACGGCTCTGAGCTCCGCCGCCGACTGACG